CATACTCCAGGCCGAGAGTAGATTAGCCATGAGAAGCGGGTCACTTCTGATTAGAAAGTAAAACTTCTGTGTGCTATGTTTAATTAGCTGAAAGACCTGATTTATTGAAGTTGGAAGGCTGCCTTTTTTGTTCACAATACTATAAAAAGATTGCTTGTACACAATAAAGGACTTTTTTTCTGCTGCTGCTTTGCTTGCTCTGCTTTTTCTTCTTTGTTTTCCCATGCTGACCTGCAAGTGAATTACTGCAACACCTGTCTTACATTCTTTCATAGCACCTTTATTAAGAACCTCAAGTACTCAGTGCGTGCTGGTGCGGAAGGAGAGGCTGCTGCAGGTCAAGGGTACAGTTGCCACCAGCCCCTTCAAGCTCAACCACAAAAAACTGCGGCCAGCTAGCAGGGCGCCCTGCGCCTGGGCCTGCAGCGCAGAAGCCCAAGAAGCCGGCAATGGCGCTGTGCCACACGGATGCCTGAACCGTCAAAGGCACCGCAGCCGACAAGCAAGTGTCCGAAAGGCTGCCTCCACCAAAAATAAGGGCAGCAGTGGCGGCAGCAGAAAGGCCAAGAAGGCAGCAAGCCCAGCGTTCCCAAGGAGCCCAAGGGCCACAAGTGAGTGCCCTGGCCCCTAAGACTTTTAAAAATACCTTTTTAGTGTTATATAGGAAAAGGGTTACAATAAAGAGCTGTTTTCCAAAACTTATGGTAATTTTACAAGGATGCTGGCAAACAGACATGTACAATACAAATGACATTTTGATTAGTGAAAATGTAAATAGAGTGTCACAGGATTCTAACCTTGTATTCCTTTAGGAACAATAGTTTGATGTTCATTAATTCAGTGTTTACAGAAACCTTATAGAATACCACTACCCCGAATAATAAGAACTGACTGTATCTTACTAAAACCAGATCCACTAGAAGGGCATAGGGACTGAGTATAACAGATAGGAAAATGATTTACTTTAAGCATAAGAAACTAGTAGTTCTCAGAAACTATTTCTCCTCCACTAAATGTGTAGCCCAGGAAGTGAATGATTAGCATAGATTTGGAATCTCTAAGTCTCAAAAATGTTAGAGGTATGGGAGAAAGCTAATGTTAAGATGGGATACTGCCAAGGGGAACCTATAGCTGAGGTAACAGCATGCCTTTCAGACAAGGATGCCATCTATCACTTCTTTTTATTATAGTACTAGAAGTTATTCTCATATAATAAAGGAAGGAAAAAAAGTATCAAGATTGGATGGAAAATAATTACTGTCATTATTTGGAAGTGCCATATAAAAACCCCAAGAGTTTCTAAATATAAATTATTAGAATACTAGATAAGTAAATATAAAGAATTTTAAAAATGATTCCACTAACAATTACATGGGAAAAGAACGAAATGCCTAGCAATAAATCCAACAAAGTTATAGAAGACCTCTATATGGAAAACAATAAAATACTGTTGAGAAAAATTAAATAAGACTCTAAAAGAAATGTAACCATTTTCATGCATTGAAAGACATGTAAAAATATTTATTCTTCTAGGTAGATTCTTTATAATTCTAATAAACTACTCCTTATATTTTTTAGGATTGGGTAGAACTTGACAGTTCATTTTAAAAGTTATATGTAAATGCAAAGGACCAAGAACAGTTGAGATACTTCTGAAAGAGGAGAGAAGCTAGTGTTAAGAGCTGATCTGATCTGGAGAGGGCTGAACTGCTAGGAGTTGGGAGTGATTATGTAAAACAGGCTAAAATGATAAAGTACTAGTCAAGTCTTTAACCCTTCTGAGAGCCATTAGCAAGAAGTTCAACAGAAGAAAGTGCTAGCTTTCATAATATTCCATTCGTGCCTGTAGAAATGTGCTAACCAGGATAAGATGCGAGGATCATCTCACTACCAAGAAAGCAGGTTGGTATTTTTCAGATTCAATAAGTATACATGTTCCCTCTCTCATCAACCAACACTGCTTCTAATTTAAAACTAATGTTTCATCTATAAGACTCACAGCAATAAAATAACAAAAGACTTGTGCATAGAGAAACAAATATATTATTTGAATTACTAAAGTTCATTCTTACTAATTTATGGAATATGATTTCCCCTTTTTATTCATGTTTCAGTTATACATAATAGCGGGTTCATTTTGACATGTTTATAATGCAAATAACATAATTTGCTCCATTGCAATCCCCAGCACTGCACCTTTCCCAACCCCTCTTCCTCTCTGATCACCCCCTTTCTCTATGGAATATGATTTTTATTTATTTTTTGGTACTGGGGACTGGGTGCTTAACCACTGAACCACATCCCCAACCCTTTTTATATTTTATTTAGCAGGGTCTCACTAAGTTGCTTAGGGCCTCACTCAGTTGCTAAGGCAGGCTTTGAACTCACAATCCTCCTGCCTCAGAGCTACTGGGATTACAGGCATGAGCAACTGCACGTGGCTTGGAATAAGATTTTTAAATGGCTTTACCTTACTGTGGTAAAACAACACTGTCAGAGTAGATGTGATTTTTCAGTCTTAGATATTATGCTGCTGGAGTCACTTTCAGTGACTTTTCATTTCTTCAATATTCCAAAAGGTAAAATGAAAATGCATTAACTTTTTATCATATTCTTCTTTTAATGGTAACTTATGATGCAACAAAAGGCCTCTGGAATATCTTCACCACATACATCACTGATGACACTTAACTTTGGTGTGTATTTTCTGGTGCTTAGTTAAGACTGAATTTCCCACAGAAAGTTTTCCCACATTCATCACACTCATATGGTTTTTCTCCAGTATAGATTCTCTGGTGATGAATAAGGGTTGAGATCTGACTGAATGCTTTTCCACACTCTCCACATTCATAAATCTTTTCTCCAGAGTGAATTCTCTGGTGATTAATAAGAGCTGAGTTCACATAGAAAGCTTTCTCACACTTCTTACACTCATATGGCTTCTCTCCTGTGTGGATTCTCTGATGTTGATGAAGGCTGAACTCAGACTGAAAGATTTCCCACACTCATCACATTCATATGGTTTCTCACTACTATGGATTCTCTGATATTTGATAAGGTCTAAGTTAACACTAAATGCTTTGCCACATTCTCTGCAGTCATAGGGCTTTTTTTCCATTGTGGATTCTCTGATGTATAATCAGATGTGCCCTCACAGTTTAGGCTTTCTTACATTCATTACAAGTATAGGGCTTCTCTCCAATGTGGATTCTTTCATGCACAATAAGGTTGAGCACACACTGAAGGCTTTTCCACTGTGATCACACTCATAAATTTTCTCTCCAGTGTGGCTTCTCTGATGCCAAAAGAGACCTGAGTTCTGAACAAACTTTTTTCCATACTCACTGCATTTACAACATCATTCTTCTGTGGACCTACCTTCATGCTTTTCTAATTGGTCTTTATACTGACAGACTTCTCCATACTCAGGAATCTGTAAGAAATCCTCATAATATATGCTAGAGATCTTTTGGTGTGGATTCATCCTTACAAAATCCTTCCCTTTAAAGTTGATACCTTGTTTTCGACTCTGGTCTTGATTCTGAAACAATACAGAGAATTTTCAAATGTACTTTATTTCCTGCTGCTAAAGCAATAAAAATGAAATAGACTTAACTGGGGCTCTCAAACATGTTGTTAGTAATCCGAGGACACACCAATTATATGGTAGCCAGATCAAATGTCTTCAGTCAGCTTACAGAAAGTAACATTACAGAATTTCTGGAATGAATACTTGACTCAAATGGCTATTTAAGTCTATCATCTAAGAAAGTATTTAAAACAATATGGAATATATGTAAATATAGGAATAAGGGAGTGTACTCAATTGTAGAGCTCATGCACGATCTCCAGTACCAAAATAAGTGAATAAATGAATAAATAAAAATAGCATACGATCATACATTAGACTTTGTGTATTTAATTAAATCGAAAAAGAGAAACTTTGGGGACTTGCAGATAGGGTTGATGAAGGGGTATGGGAATAAAAATGGCAAAAAATATTCAATTGATAAGAAGCCTGAAAAAAATGACAATAACAACATTTGATAGGTATGCTTTACCACCCACAAGAATCCACACTTCTTGAGCTGGAAGAGATATGGGGATGAAAAAGGCGTTGCAGGTTATAATGCCATCACTGCAGCAGCTACTGTTGCTATCTGCTGTAGGATTCTGGAGGCTTCCTTCTCAGTGGTTCCTGAGCTGACAATGGAGCAGTGAAGAAAGGATTCTATTTACTCTGAAGAAGGTGTTAAAAACAAAACAAAACAAAACTCCTTTGWTCCTGCAGGAAAAACAGTATCTTAGCAACAGGGATGATATATCCATTCTGCAATTGTGACAAAGTAAACCCTTTACTGGTTCCCACCAGCTCTTTCTACCTTTGTAGTTCAGACCAACTTGCACAAAGCTTAGTGGACTGCAGCCACTCTCTTATGCCCTAGGAACAAATATAATTTTGTCTCCAAACTTGATAAAAACTTTGCTCCAAACCCAACTTACAATAATTCCCCTCTGCCTCTTTCCATGTTACAAACTGTCTTAACAGAGGTAAGTTGTCAGAATGCACTCTTGATATGATAAAAATGGCATTTTATCTCTGATCTTCCTTTCCCTGTAACTTCAATATAACAATGATAAAACCAAATTCAGAAGGACGTTTTACAAAGAAGAACAACAAAACACACAAAATCAACGCAGGGGAGAGTGGAGGACCTAGACAAGGAGAAAATAACATCTCCATTCACCCACTCCACCCGGAATTTAGCCCCATCAGAAAAGACAGTAGGGTCACTAAGAGCCTTGGACTCTGACACAAAGACTGGGAACTGGATCTAAGATAAGAGCCTGGCTCAGCTATCAGCACACTCCCCAAGCACCCTCTTTTCCAAGGTCTCTGGGGAATCTGCTCTACTTGTGCACTAAGATGGGGTGGGGGTGGGAAAAGGGAATGAAAAAGAAGATGAGGGAGGAGAGAGGGAGGACAAGAGAAATGGAATACAAGAGGGGGGTGAAGAATGGAGAAGGGAGAGGGGAGAGAAAGGGCAGGCCTGAGACGATTTCTTCCTTCCTCTGCAGCTGTTCACCCCAAGGTCCATGCAAAATCCAAGGACAAAGTCAAGAGAGAAACTTACCTGAAAAACTGATTAGACCTAACTGAGAGACAGACAGAAGATAGTGGTCTAGTCTGCCTAGAGAGACCTTTTACCTGTAGAATTCTGCCCCTAGGCACCTGGCTATCTGCTCTAGGATTCTAGAGGCTTCCCTCTCAGTGGTTCCTGAGCTGACAATGGAGCAGTGAACATAGGATTCTATTTACTCTGAAGAAGGGGTTAAAAACAAAACAAAACACTTATTATCTCCTTTGATCCTGCAGGGAAAACATTAAAATTTTCCTCTCATATATAGGAAAACTGAGAAGCAAATAAATTTTCCAAGGTCAGACAATTGTTAAGACAGATGAGAATTGAACCTTGTTCTTTCCTGGCACTAGAGTCACCTTGTGGCTCTTTAGGGCTTAGCCCTAAGAGACTGATCTCAAAATCAGTTTGTAAATTTACCACCATTCTAATAGAAAACAAAACAAAACAAAACAAACAAACAAAAACAACAACAACAAACTTTAGAAGTAGATTTTAACATTCACATAAAAAAAAGCAAGTAGGAAGAGTGAAAAGAGAAGGGGACTCCTGTCCTAAAGACTTTTAAATATGCTATCAAGGCTTAAGGCTTAAATAGTGTGATATTGGTAAGAGAAACAAATAGTACCCAATAAAAAGCCCAGAAATAAACACAACTTCAGGTAGAAATTTAGCATAGAGGTAGAAAACAAGAAAAAGATGATTCTTCAATAAATGTGTAAGAACTGCATAATCAYCAGGAAAGACATTAAATTGGATTCTACCTCAATCTACACACCAGGAAATATTCCCAATAAATTAAAGTTGTAAATATTAAAAATAAAAACAAAAAATAAGAAAAATGTGGGAGGTATATTTTAAAGCAACAGATAGAAAAGCCTATTATGACCACAGATCCAGAGGTCATAAGTAAAAAGATTGATAAATATAAACCACATGTGGTTTGGATTCCCTCCTGTTCTAGCCTCACTCTGAATTCAGACTTCGTAAACATTAAGTAAACATTTGTAAACATCCTGACCCACTAATTAGTAGAATTTTTTTTTTTTTTTGGTCTGGGCATGTAGCTTAGTGGTAGACAGCTTGCCTAGCATAAATGAGGCCCTGGCTTCATTCCCAGCACCACATGAGGAAAAAGAGAAAGTTTTCTCAGGTCCCTTACTTCCAGAACCTCCAGATCACAGAATGTCAAAGCTTAACAGAACTCTCATGTAGAGAACAAAATCTCTGATATTTCAATAGTGTATTTCTGAGTGACACTGGAAAAAAGTTATTTCCCCTCTGCTCCCATAGCTGGCATTTCTTGTCAGTTTATTTTCTGACTGTGTGCAATAGTTGGGACTAAAAAATGTTAAACACATGAATTTATGGATCACTGTAGAAACAGATCAGAGAGCAGAACAGATCATCTTACGAAGTATAGATAATAAAAAAAGAAAAAAAGTAAGTATAGATAAGAAGAAATAGACTGACTATCTGGATAGCACTTCTATGTACAAGGTGTTTTCATGGAGTCTTCATAAGAGTACGTGTGCTTTAATCACTTTTGATTATAGATGAGGAAATAGAGGTAAAAAGAGATTAAATGAATTGGTCAAAACCCAGGTAGTCTGACTTCAGATTAACATGTSTACAAAGTAGGACAAAGAAAAAAGAAAGGAATTCTTAAGATACTTATACAAGTTTTAAAATGACTTCATAAATACCTTTCCCTTCCCATCTGCTGTTTGGGTTCATCTAACTCCATTCACCTTAGCCACTTCCCCAAAGACAACAGGGCACACTCACCCTTCCAGCAGTGCTTCTCCTATTCCCAGAACTGGTGCTCCTTAGTCAGTGCCAACCATGCTGCTGGAGCCAGCTCATAGTTGCTGGCCTGGAGAGTTTTCTTGTTAATAGAATCCTTGGGGTCATTGAAACCAGCTAAAGATGCATCCAGGCATTTTCCTATAATTGAACAGTCTACAATCCACTAAATCCCCCCCCCCCCCATAATTGAACAGTCTACAATTCACTGTTTTTTTTTTTTTTTTTGAGGGCTCTTCTTCAGGAACACTTTTGTAAAGGAAATCTTATTTTATTCAAAGAAAAGATAAAAGGTTGCCATATTGCTTATACTAGGAATTATGGAGAAAAAAGTGCCATGTCAAATAAGAAGCTAAGTTGAAAAGGGCCATAAGATCACATGCTGGAGCACTACATCTGCTTTAACAAACTCTCAACCATTGCCTCTAAGTACTGCTGGGGGAGATGGTGTGTCCTCACAAGAAACATCAAAGTTGTTGGAAGGGGCCCTGGTGTGGAAGTGACTACTAAAGGAAAGGGTGACCATTTACTGACAGTTTGAAATAGAGAGGTCTATTCTACATTCAAAAAGAAAATGTCACTGGCATAAGTGGAGGTGGAAGCTGGTGGTGGTGGCACACGCTTGTATATCCCAGCTACCAGGGAGGCTGAGGCAGAAGGGATTGCAAATTCAAGGCCAGCCTCAGCAACCTAGCCATCTTAAAAAAACTAAAAAGGGGTGGGATGTAGCTAAGTGGAAGAGCGCCCCAGGTTGTAATCGCCATTATGGAGGGATGAGAGGAGATGAAGAAGCCTCTCCTACATATTTCCAATTATTTGCAGTTTCCCCTTTTGTTAGAAAAGTGAGGTGAGGCGTGGTGGGCAGTGGTACCAACTGTAGCCAGGATACACTTGTAGTTATTAAGACAGTAGAAGGGATCAGGATTATAGTCCCAGAAGGGAAGCAGTCCTAACTAGTCACAACACTGAATCTCTAGGAAAAACTCTCTAGGGAAGTTGCACTAGGGGGTAATTCCCACCATCCCAGGAGGATTTGCTTCTCTAGGAATTTTCTACAAGTTCTAGCTTGGGCAATCTTGAGAGGTACAGAAGAAGAATGCCCACCCAAACCCCTCCCCTCGTTGCCTTCCCACACCGTATCTGAAGAAGAGCAGCAATG